TGTCCATGGAGGGAGCCCCTGGAAGCCACACCTCTCTGTGCCCCAGACCCATGGTGGGACCCTAGGAGTGTCCTTTCAGGGCACTAGGACAGGAAGTGTCACCCATTAACCTCTTCAGGTGGGTGGTGCCTGTGCAAGCCAGAGACGGCTCCTACAGTGCTTTCCCCTCCAACTTCTCTGGGATCCCCAGGCTGACTATGTGGGGTCTCAGTCCCATGCCTATGCAATCTCTTCCACCATGAAGCCACCAGCCACTCATGGCTTTTCCTGCAGAGTGTTCCTAGAGCAGGCTATCACCTCAGCATGGCCCTGTTGGTGGCAGTAAAACAGCCAATGCACTGTGCAGCGGAATCTCTCTTTCAGATACCATAGCAAGGCCAGAGACCTGCAGCATCTGTCTGGGACACAGAAAACCTCAGGGTCTCCTGGGGCTCTCCCCGTCCCCGCATCCCAATGAAGCAATGTGCCCAGGATCAGTCCCCTGTGGATCTTCATCATGTTCCAGGCAATTTATATGCTGAAGTCAGTGCTGGTGGCATGACACTGCTACAGCAACTCCTCCAAAATGAGGGGCTTGGACCATTGACCTCCCCGGCAAGTCCTCGGGCCAACAAGTGCCTGGCATTTTTTGGCTGGTGCGGTTTCTGCGTGGCCTAGGAATGATCTCCTAGGGTTATTTCTGACTCACAGGACAGGAAACATTTCGGGGTTTAAGCCAAGCTGAATAATATGCTCATTTCCTTGTGCCGTCTACAAAGCACCTGCTCCAGGGGATTTATGGAGTGCTGGCCTCTCGCAGGCACTGTGCGGCTGCCTGCCCGGATGTTTTTATTTTCCTGGTATGGCCAGCAAGTGCCAAGGCCTGTTTTCCTAAACACCCCGTGACCTCCTGGCACGTTTCTTTGAGGGGAGCCCAGGCAGAGCCACGGGCTGCAGCACACTCGCGCTGGGATATCCAGGGTGCTGGAGAGCCAGGGTGGGTGCCAGCACCCTGCCAGGGCTGAGGGCAGCAGGAATGCGTGGCCAACCTACTGATGCCAAAACCTGGTGCCCTGAAAGGACACTCCTAGGGTCCCACCACGGGTCTGGGGCACAGAGAGGTGTGGCTTCTAGAGGTTCTCCCCATGGACACACAGAGACAACACTTGTCCTGAACCAGGGAGGTGACACAGCTGCCACATTCATGAAGGGCAGCCACAGCCATGATAAACAACCTGGGAAAGTCCCAATGGAATGGAACACGGGCATGAGCAATGAGCAAGGGAGGATGAGACCATGTGAGAGAGGGCAGGAGGGCACGAGTGAGCCCCAGCGTGGGAGTGCTCAGGACACAGGGACCACAATGTGACTGGGGACCTGCAGACACCATCCCACAGCAGGTCCTGTCCCACAGCAGGGAACCCACACACCCCCCCAACGAGGGTAGCAGAGCCCTGTGAAGTGCTGTGCCTAGCCTCTAGGGCCGCAACACCTCTTCCTGCAAGGAGGGCCAGGGTGTTGAGACCAGGGACATCCATGGAAGACACAAGGCATGCCAGCATGCACTGCAGCCCATGCTTCTCCACCTGCACAGAGCTTCACCTAGCAGGCAGCCAGTCTGCAGAGTAAGGTAACATCAATTTTTTTCTCACATCTCCTCTATTTTGTCCCCTTTTTGGAGCAACAGTCCCATTGCTGGTGGGGCTGTACTCCAGCCTCTGTGAGCTGTCCCATCTCGCTTACCAGCTGTGGGATGAAGGATGCCATGAGCCAGTTGTCATTCCCTGTCTAGCCCCTTGTCTTCCCTTCCCAGCTCCTGACTGCCTATCTCTTCCTCACCCCTCTGCTCACCCCTCCCCAGGGTCTGGCCATGCCAGCGAGCAGTGAGCATTCATGAATGGTCATCACTCAGAGCTAGCATCTACCTGCACCTGCCCTGGTGCCCTGGGTACACTGGTGCTTGAAACATCCTCAAGGTGCTGGGCAAGGAAAGGTCCCCACATCCCCTGAAGAGCTGCTTCAGGGTCCAAAGCAGCACCAATGCAGTTTGGTCCAGTGATAAACTGGGGTTGTGGATTTTTTTGTTTGTTTTTGGGTTTCTTGTTTGGTTTTTTTGTTTGTTTGTTTTGTTTTTTGAGTTGGTTTTTTTTTTTTTTTTGTTCAGAGAGAAAATAAAATAGCTTTGGGGACCAGGAGCCAAGATCCCCAGTGCCTAAAACAGCAATCACAGCACTTCCTTGGATTTATGGTGTTTGCTTTCACAATGCCAGCCGGGATCCTGTTTGCTTCCTGCTCTGCAGCTGCAGCTCCAGCTGAAGGCTCAGGAGATTCAGGTTTTATAACCCTCCTGGATTCTGCTGATGGCAACTGGTCCAGCATCAATTATTACCCCCTGAGCCTCCTGTGGTGCTAGGGTGGGCTGTTGCCACCTCACCCCAGTACCCTTGGCTTGGGTGCTCTTCCTTCCCCATCCATGGGGTCCCATCCCTGGCACTGGGCATTCTGCTGCTCTGCAGAGGCATTGCTGGGAGAGGAGGCCAGCAAAGCAGTGTCCCTGGTGGGGTGCAGCACCCAGCTTTTCTCAGACACAGCTACAGTTGGAGACCCGGGCCAGGCAGGAAAGCTGGGTCCTGCTGGGAGGATGCTGAGACATGGATTTGACCTTCTGCAGGATCCTGGGATATTCAAAGGTGGTGACTGCTCCTCACTGGCATACATGTAGACAGGCAGTGATCCCTTCTGTTGGGCTGTGCCTGATAAATCAAAGGGACTGAATTTCTAGAGAGGCACTTCTTCCAGCCCCTTTATCCTTTCTGTGGTTCTTCCCCAGGTCCCAGTTGTTCCCTAAGATGTGAGACCAAAAGCAGCTGCTTTCCTTCAGTCTCTGCAGCAAACTCCAGGCTGGCACAGCAGGAGAAGGTGTCAGCTCCTCCTGCCACAGTACCCTCAAGAGCCCAGGCAGAAGCTCTGAAACACCAAGTCTAATTGCAATTTTTGCTTTCCAAGTTACGAGCTCCCTTCTGTACAACCTGGACCAAAATGCTCAGGATCACCCATGGGGCTGTGTGTGCTGGGGACAGGTGGGTGCCCAGGAATGCAGAAGTGGGGGAAGGAAAGTGGTCAGGAGGGGGAATAGCAGGATCAACAGGCTATGGGGGATCACCAGCCCCTTTCTTTATGCACAGTGTGGATGGTGCTCCACTGCCCTGCTCCCTCTGCAGTGTGCCAAGAGATGTCCTGACACTCCTCTATTTCTCTGCATTTTCCCAGCAAAGCACTTTGATGAAAAACCCAACAGCCACGAGTGGACTCGTAGCTCTAACTCTCTATTTAATGAACTGTAATGGCTACAGAAATCTTGAGAATGCCTCTTCACGTCCCTGATGGAGCAGGGGCAATGCCCTTCCCACAGCCAAGAGATGCTATCGCCCCAGGTTTTGAGCACTCTTCTGGAAGCCTGTCCAAATCCTGTGGGCCTCTCAGTGAAACCCACCATTTCTTTTTTGTAACATTTGCTGTTCTTGTTGATGAAACAATGATGGATTATTTCATTGCAGTTACTAGCGTGCCAGACTTCTTTTTCCAAACACACAATAGGAATATTAATTAACTGCTCTGCCGATGAACACTTTTATCTTCCTTATATAGTAACAACTCTGCACCAAAGGGCAAGTTCCATTTGTCACTGATACACTCCACCATCCTGGCTCATGGCCCAGTGGTCAGCAGGGCATGCCCAGCATTTCTCTGATTTGTTATCAGCCTTTCCTAACAGATCCCACACTCACTGCCATCCAGCCACCCCACCGAGGGACACAGCAACACCCGTGGCACTACAACAGGGCTGGAGTAATTCTCTAAGGGTAAGAAGAGATGCAAAGCTTCTCCCTCAGCAGTGAGAGCACAAGCTGCAGGAGATGGATGCAATGGGATGGTAAAGGGGCCCAGAGCACCAAAGGGAAGGGACTATGCCTTCAAATCTGAAGGTGGTGAATCCAAAGCGGATAAAGTGGATAAAAGGAAGCATTTTTCTTTCTCACTCTGTGCTTAATTAGACTGCCACAGGAAAATGCTCGGGCCAAAATTTAGCAGGATTCAATGAGGGATTGGGCACTTATAGGGATAAGAAAAATATCCAGCTATAATAGTGAATGCCAATACAAATTCTGGAAGGGATATTAAGCCTCACGCGTCAAGGTGTAAATTTATCCCAAACTCTCAGGAACAGGGAGCTTAATGCAGGGGCAGATGACCCACATATGTCACTCTGCTGATGCTGCCTCATTGCCAGCATGGCCCTGTGCTGGCTGAGCCCCTGGCTGGACCATCCCCAGAGCCGTGTTTCCTGCTGCTGGCAGCACCTCTGTCAAGGGCTGCGAATTTCTTTTGGCAAGTCAGCCCTTTGCTGGTAGCTCTCTGGGGCCATGCGGCTCCCAGGGCTCTGACCTCCTCCCTCTTGCACTTCAGCTCACTTTGATACACACAGCTGATAACTGTTATCACAGCTGATAACAGCCTTATCACTTCTACACAGAGGCAGTCCCTCTGAGCAAGGGTCTGTGAGGTCCACAGGCACAATCCTGGGTGATGTGGCACCTTCACACAGGTCCTTGCTTCCAGCCAAGTCCCTCACTTTAGGCAGGTTACCTGCTGCCTAAAAGCACTTTTGCCTCCTAATTTTATCCTTCCTGTTTCCAGCTTATGTGGGGACCAGTCTGCAGCCCCTGGAAGAGGACGCTCAGCCCCAGTACCTTGTGGGTACTCCAGGTGCACAGGCACAGTCCCCTTTCATGGGCACTGCTCAGATGAGCCCCGGTTCTGCATCTGTGACTGTCTGCTCTGGTCACAGCACCAAATATGTCAGAGCTCAGTAGGTGTTTGGACAGCATTCTCAGGTACATGCTGGGATTCTTGGGGTGTCCTGCATAGGGCCAGGAGTTGGACATGGTGATCCTGATGGGCCCCTTCCAACTCAGCACATTCTACGACTCCATGATTCTATGATTTTGTGATCCTGTGATTTTAAACCTGCTGTCCCCATCCCCAGCCTATGCATGGCTATGAACCTGGCACAGCTGCAGCCCAGGCTGGGGTGAAAGTGCCATGATGTGGTACTCAGGAGTGGGGGCAAGCACCTCCATCCCCAAATGAGGATGATGCCATTTGCATCCCACATTGCTAGCAGAATGCTTGTGCTGCTCTGGTCACTGTGACATGGGATGCTCCCAAAATCTTGGCTTGCTCTGAAGGAGCAGTGACGGCTCAGCACGACCAGAGGGGAGCCTGGAGCTCTTCTGGTCCGGAGCCAGGGTCTCCCGTGCTTGCTGCTTACGTGCTCACCACACTGCAGAGGGCAACACTGTGGGGGACCTTTGGATCTCCCCTTGCTGTGGAGCCTTGCACCCACAGGGGCTTCCAACTGGAGAAATTTCTGGAGGGCATGAATCAGCTTTTCACAGCTTGTTAAAAATCTTGATCCTACCTCTTGTTTTCATGCCTTTCAAATCAGGAAATGAGTTTTACAACTTTTCCAGTGGGGCACAGCTGGTGGCCAGGGTCGTAAAGCTGAACTTTATAAATATCTCTCATTGGGATCAGGGGAAGAGCATTAAAAAGGCAGAGAGGGAGAAAGAGAAAGAGAAGGCAAAGGAGCAAAGGCAATAGAGAAGCAAAGCGAACAAGTCCAGCTCAACCATCTATGGCCATGCAAGCACAGAAGATGAGGTGTGCTTGGGGCAGGCTTTGCCTGCTTCTTTCCCTCCTCCAGCTGCCGGGCTCCCAGGCCAAGTGCTACTTCCAGGCTAAAGGTAAGTGGGGAGGTTAGATGGGAAGAGGCTAAGGGGAAGAAGAGGCCTCAGCTTTCCCAGCATAGCAGGGCTCTTCTCTATGCCTGAGAAGTATGGAAGGGACTGTGCTGAGCACAGGAATGGGATCATGGGCCAGTGGTGAGTGGAAGGAGCAGTCTATAAACCACAGAACAGCTCCCCAGGGCTCTGGCTGAGAAACAGCTTTCTGGGCCATGAAGGCTCCTGGCAGGTGCCTGGCTGGGGCTGAGCGTGCAGGACTAGCAGCAAAGGGAGGAGGGCAGATCATTATACCTCTGTTGTCTCCTCCCAGGGCTGTGGAAATACCCAGACCCTAAGGGGTATTGGATTTGTCCTCTCCAGGGAAGCAAGAGCCACTTGGTTCTTGCTCTAGACCATGGAGTAGTGGTGAGAGCCACAAGACAGGGCCAGGAGAGGATGGATGGGTACATGACCCATGAGAGATGACAGGGCATTCCATACCTGCAGGATGGTGGATAGATCACCATATATCTTCCAGTGCACAAGGTGGGTGAGAGGTTCATGGTACTTCTGCCCCTGTTCAGGGCAACAGGGGTGTCCAGGAGGCTTCCACTCACCCTCAGCACAGGCCCATCTGTTCTCATCACCACTATTTCCTTTGCAGCTCCCTGTGAATACGAAGGGAAACAGTTCTCCATTGGGGAATCGTGGCTGAGCACCAACTGCCTGCTCTGCACCTGCCTGCACCCCATTGGCGTGGGCTGCTGTGAGACGTGAGTGAGGGGCCGGGCTGGGGTGGCTGTCACCTCCCACCACAGCACCCTGCCCCTGCAGCAGCGGGTGTCTGGTGGCTGCAAATGCAGCTGATATCAGAGCCTTGGGAGGGCTGCGGGCACCAGGTCCTGGCGAACAAGAGGCAGAGGTGGGCAGGACCCCACCAGGGCATTGAGGGTGGTGGGGTGAGTTGGGGCAGTTGGAAAGGGTGTTTTGGCACAGCAGGATGCCCAGATGGGCCAGGAGCTGTGTCCCAGCCTGCCTAAGCTGGTCTGGATGACACCGGTGCAGGGGGCTGGCAGCAGGAAGCCACCCAGCGCAGTCAGCAGCCCGCTGCCATTAATCGGGGCTACTGACAGCACCGTGTCCTCTCCTACAGCACCCAGCACCCGATCGACTTCCCTGACTGGTGCGAGGCCCACTACGACTCACAGACCTGCCAGATCTCGGTAGTGCAGAAAGCCAACCCCAGCCTGCCGTGCGTGAAGAGCGTGGAGCACGAGTGGGGCTCGGCCAGCACCCCCGAGCCGCTGGTGAACAAGCTGCTGGGTGCGGGGCTCAGCAGATAGAGTGAGTCCCAGCTGCGCCCCGCATTCCTCAGCGCCGCCCTCCCCTCCCGAGCACACCGCCCGCATGCTCCAGACCTGCCCCACCCACCCTGTAGAGGCATCACCGCAGGCACCTCCGAAGGAAACCACTATCCACACACCATGGTACCAAGCCTTGCTTCTGCCTTCAGCTTCCTGAACCAGGGCGCCCTCCCTGTGAGGTGTTCTGCACACCGTGGAAGTGCAGATTCTACAGGATCTCCTCCAGGTGGGCAGAAAACCTTCAGTGACTAAAAAAAGGCTACAGGACTAAATCAGCCTGCTCCATGGCAGTCCTGCGTTCTGATATCCAGCTGCAAGCAAAGCAGCTCCCTACTCCCTCCCAGCCCTGTACTCCTCTGTACAGCAGCCGTGGGCAGCTCCCTGGGGTCACCACGGCACCTTGTGCAGGATCCCCACAACCCTGTCCAGCCCCTTCTCTGCTCCTGGAGTGCAAGGGGCACAACCCACCTCTGGAACCACTAATGCCCCTGCTCCAAAAGCTCCTGGGGTCCCTGACACTGTAGGCCATCCCTGGGCAACACTGCAACAGAGCCAGACCAGGGTGGGTGGCAGAACAGGATGTCCCCAGGGGAAAGCCCCATCCCCCCTAGCAGGGGAGCAGGGTGGGGAGGGTTCAGGAGAAGCAGAAGCAATTCAAGTGCCAGGGTGGAGGCAGCCACCCTGACAGCTGCCCCAGCTGGTGCCATGCCTGTGTTGTGCAGAGCCTTGTGTAGATTGTATTGTTTCTGTTCTTGCAATAAAGGTACTGAACAAAGAGGTCTCCAGCCTGTGACTGCTGTAGAAGGTGGGATGTGTTCAGCACCGGGAACAATGTAGGAATAAGGCTCTTGGGAAAGCTGAGTTTTGCAGAGTCAGATATTTATTACATTTCCATGCAAAGAGGAAAGTTCATTGGAAAGTTCAGTAAAATGGGGAGCTGGCTGTTGAGCAGGGAGATCTCCATGCCAGCTCTTGGATGCACAGCATGTATTCCTTACAGCACCCCAAGGATCCAAAGACCAGCAGGATGCTGGACAGCACACCAGGACCCCAGGCAGACAACAGCCCAGGGGCTCAGTGCTGCTCAGTTTTGAATCATCACAATTGTACTGACCCAGTACAGGCCTGCATCCCGCTCACCAGCACATACCAGAGCACAGGGCTGGCCTGCCACCACCTGCCTCCTCCAGGTGGGGGTGGCTGGAGCACTGGACTCCATGTGTAGGGTAACTCTCCAAGAGGCACGACACATGCCAGGACAAGAGAGCAGGGTCTCACCCAGCCCAGGTGGCCACTGTGCTTCACCTGGATGACAGACCTCTGCTTGTAGGGTCTCTGTAAGGGCACAGTCTTCACCCAAGGGTGGTATGAAGCTTCACTGGAAGAGCTCCCCTCTCCCCTCCCTGGGCTGGGCCATTCCTTCTTGGAAGCCCCATATGAGATCAAGGCACATCAGCGGTTCCCTGGGAAGGCAGATTTCTTTTTGCTGAGTGCTGGGACTTGCACCTTCACCCAGGCAGGAAGGGTCCAGCTCCAGCTGGGGGCTGTAGCACAAGACACTGCATCAAGCAGCATTTTTCCAACCATAGACAGGACAGACATGTCTGGTGCCCACCTGTACATCACAGATGGATCCAAGGGGACACTGGGATGTGTGCACCACAGCACGCTGGTGACAGTCCTGCTTGCCATTCCCACTGGTGGCATGCACTTGCAGCTCTGCAAGCCAACAACATCTCCTAAGTCAGATAGTGATGGAGTTCGTGCTGGAGAACTGAGATACGTAGGAAGCCAGGATGGGGTTGGTGGGAAGAACTTTGATGGGCAAGTCCCAGCTGAAGGTGTCCACTTCCATCTGCTCCACCCCAGTCCAGGTGACAGCCTCTGATTGGCTCCCACGAACCAAGCAAGTCCCTGCTGACTCCCCAGAAGTCACAAACTCAAAGTGCAGCCTCCATTTCAGGGACACTGTAGGCAAGAGGGCAGTCAGCACATAACACCCACAAGTGCCAGGGACAGCAACTGTCTCAGCACAGTCTGTCACGGCACGGGGACAGCAAATGACCCCACTCACAGAGGCCAGCTCCCTCCCAAGGGACACAGCTCTGCTGAGCAAGGGCAGGGCTGAGTACATCACAGTCCTCCTAGAGACAAGCAGGGGTGTGTCCCTTCCCTGGTGGGTACTCACCAATGTTGGTGGTGAATCCTGGGGTTGAGCTGAGCGGGATGGGCAGGCTGAAGCTGCTCTGTGCTGTGTGCAGGCAGTACTCCTGATGGCGGGCGTGCACGGTGAAGGAGACAGGCTGCCCCCGCCGCCGTTGGAACTCCTCCTGGATGCTCTCCTCTGTCTGCAGGCTTACTGAGAACTGCAGGGCAATTGGCAGGGTGCTTGCTCTCACAACCTCATACATAACTCATGCAAAGCCTTGGGGGGTCCATTTCCTAAATGAGCTCGGGATTGGACCATTGTCTGCCTCAGACTCAAAGGGGCCCCAGCTGGGTCCCACTAGATACCCTCACAACCCAGTGCCACCCCAAACCCTACTCCACATGCCTCATCCTAAACCCCTGCCTCTCCCCAGTAACCCCAGACACAGCAATGACCTGCAGACATGGGATATCTCCTTCTGAGAAGTTGAAGGTCCCAATGACATCCTCTCCAATCTTATATACAGTCTTAAAGATGCAGAATGTCCCCACCTTCCCACGAGTGTTGCTGATGTTGTACAGGTCTGTGGAGCAAGAAGAGGGAAAAGAGTTGTGACAGAACAAGGCTCTGCCCCAGTGCTCTGGGTTAATGACATGACCTCATGCCTCCTGTTCACGTCCCTAGAGTAGTATTCCCTTTGGGAAATTTCTGCATTGAGCAAGGGCAAACCCTGCACTGGCTGCCATGGGCAGAGGGTCTCTCAGTCTGAAGTAGGAACAGCCTGAGATTGGGTAGGAGGCTTTGATCCAAGCAGGCCCTGATAGAGCTGCTACACAGCTATAGTTGGAACTTTGTCAGCGAGAAATACTTTGCAGCTAGCCCTGACATGTTCTTCATGACCAGCTTCTTAGGAAGGACAGCAAATTTGAGCAGGGAATATGACCTACGCAGGCTGCGTCGGGAGGTGGCCACCATGAGCAGTTCTGTTGCTAGGTCTGCCAGGCGAGAGTCTTTCTTCAAGCCCTCCTCCTCCTCCAGGAAGGGGTTTGAGGGTGCAACAGCCTCATCCTGTGGGAACTGGTAATCCTTGAGCCCTGGGAAAGAGGTGAGAGCATCAGCAGGGCAGGTGCAGCCCGGGCTGCCTGTGCAGGGAGGGCAGTGCGTGGCCCTACCGTGCAGCACGAGGACGCGGAAGGGCACGCGCAGGAGCTTGATGGGGGAGTTGACACGCTGGCAGCCGATGGTCAGCTTGTACACGTACTTCACCGACTGCCCCCGGAACGAGGGAGGACCATCCACAGGCAGGGTCTCACAGTATGAATCTGCAATGAGGGCAGAAAATATGCTTTCCAAAGCCAGAAGGAAGATCCTGCAGCTGCTGTGTGCAGGCTCCCTGCACCAAGTGTTATGCCAGCAGTGCTGAGCTAGGGACAGAGCCTAGTGCTTGCTGCTGCCTCCTCTTTCCTCCAGCAGCCAAGCACAACCCACTCCCCTGCATCAGGCACAGTGCTCCCCACATCACATGCACCATCATCCAGATACTGCTTCCAGCACATACAACCACATACACAAACTTTGTCTCCAAAGAATGTGAAAGACGTAAAATCCAGGAATACAACCACAAGAGCTAAACTTACTCATCACGAGTTCAACCCAAATTTGCCTCTGTGCACTCCAGCTCTCTCACAGCACAGCCTCCTCCGGGCCCTGTCCCATGCAGGTATCAATCAGTACCTCATGCCTCTTTAGCTTTTGCTTTACACAAACCCTCAAACTCTGCAACAATTAAGTTTCCTCCTGTTTTTCTTTGAAGGACTGCAGCTAAATGACCAACAAACAATTCCTGAGACCTTCACATCAACCTGTGGTTTGTCCCCCTTGACAAGCTGATGACTTAGATCACAAAGTCTCTGACTCTGAGGGCTCTGAGGTACTGGGGCCTGGCTTTCACCACATTCAGCCCTGCTAGAGCTCCTTGGCCACCACACAAACCCCAATGCCTCTTGAAACAGTGTGAACACTTCTGAAGCTTTCCCAAACCACATGCTGTATAACAAGAAAGACACAAATGGTGAACTGTGGAAAGTCTCCAGCTCTCTGGCTTGCCCACCGTAATGCAGATACGCCCTGCCAGAGGAAGGGCAGCATCCTGCTCTGAAACCACAGATCCTTCCCCATGTCTGGCACACACACTGAATGTTGAGGCTTAGATTAAAAGTTAGGGTTACATTTTAAATATAACTTCTGGATTTCAAATAACAGGACTGGAAGGAAGAAAAAAGCCTGTGCTAGTGTGTAGTGGCGACAGGATGTCACACCTTAAAACACAAGTCTCTCTTTCTGGATGAGAGTGCAGATAAAACAGAGAACTACCCTGACAGGGAGGAAAATCACACACTTCCAAGGAAAGAAGTAGACTTCAGCAACCCCCGTACCAGACTCAATAAGAGGGCCCACAAAGACCTTCCTGCCCAGTGAGGATAATCTGAGCAGAGATCACCACAGTCAGAGAAGGATAGACAGTTTGCTACCTGGCTCAGGAATGCGAAGACTCAGGAAGTCCCAGCTTCCGTGCATATCCCAGAAGGAAGCACATTCCTGCACTACAAATGCCTTCCTTACCCACCTGCTGCGCCCTCTGGCTGGCCTTCTGGCCTGAGTCCAGGCTGCTTCCATTTCCTCTCTGTGATCTACCAAATTTTTAAAGGTATTACAAAACCAGAGTGGAGGCAAAACAGCCACAGAAATTATTTCAGGACTTGAGAAAAAGCTTCATGGTGACAAACTTAAAGAGTTCAGCCTGGGCCACGTGTCAAAGGGCTGGGATATGAGTCAACCTCAACATATAGGCACCATAACAAGAGTAAGGTATTGGGGAATAAGTTGGTCAGCAAATGAAAACAAGTCCTTTAATCAAGAGACAGTCTGACACAACCTCAGCTGTATGTGCCAGCTCTGGCTGCAGTTTAATAACACGGTATATTGCTGAAGCAGAATTAAGATTTCTTGGGTTTTCTGGTTTGGTTTTTTTTCCCCTTCCCAAACTGCGTAGCAAAACTCAAAACTTCTGAAAAACAGGAAATGAAGAATTAAGATACACACCCACACAGCCTTAGCTCTCCCTCCATGGAGCTGGCAGGAGACCCCAGGAATGGTCTGCAAGTGTGCCAGCTGCAGTTTCACGTGACAGCAGCAGCAGCAGCACAGGCCGATGGGGTCGGTGTGAACAGCCTGGCAGGAACGAGACCAGGGCTGTGATACAGCCTGGGACTTTAGTGTTAAAAAAGCAGCGCCACATGCAGCCACATCACGTGTGATGCATGAAACAGACAGGTTAATCACACAGCAAAGAGGAAAGGCTGGACTGTGCCGCCACAGAACCTCAAAGAATAGGAGAGTTTGTGTCCTTCCAGAGGAGCTGTGTCCAAGCACCAGGCAGATGCAGGCTGCTTGTACCAGTGCCACCCAGAGGCAGAGAGGACACACACACATCATGTCGTCATCGGAAAGGGTAGAAAATCCCTAGCTTAGCTGGGGGTTGAACAGCTTCTGCCTGTTAAGCCAGTGCACAGTCAATCCCTCAATCCATCCCAGCCACCTGGAACTTGGGCTGTTGTCACTGATCTGTTATCCCAGAAACTGCCCAACCTGCCTTAAGTGTGCCAGGAAAAGGGACTTCCCTCTGCTCCCAGGGAATGCATGCTCCGGCCCCTAACCTGCAAGCAGCAAGGAACACTAAAGAATCCAGGTGAGCCTCAGGCCAGCTAAGGTTTCTGCCTGCTCCTCCTTCCTGCTGGCATGACACCTCCTTTCCCCAACATGCTGCTCTACCATAATAAGTGAATAACTAAACGTCTTCAGACATCAGGCTCTGCAGTTTAGGGGCACAGCCCCACGATGGCACTGCCCCACCCCACTAACCACCAAGGCAAGCCAGCCTGGTTTCACCAGGTCCACCTTTCCCTCCAGTCAGGCCCCTCCAAAGCCAGGAAGGCAGGAGACACCAGCTTCAAAACCAGCATGTCCCAACCCCGCGGCCGCCTGGTCTCATTTGCAGCTTCACCTCCAGCTCTGCAGAGCTCAGTGATCCAGCACAGCCCGCCCCAGCACAGGCACTGTCTCTCCTGTCCCTGTGCTCTGCAGTGTGAGAGGTCTCAATCAACAGTTCCCAGCAGATCACTGGGAAAATAACAAAGGTCTCCACGCACAGCCTGAGAGGCGACCATCAGTGCTGCTAATCACAGCCACTGGAATGCAAAGGAGATCTGACATGTCCTGAACAGGCTGGGTCACACAGCCACCAACCAAGAGAGAACAGTGCATATACTCAGCTCTTTCTTTTCACAGCTATCTACTCAAATGGAGAGCTCTGAGCAGAGAAGATGAGGAGTGCTCACTTTCACAGCAGGAAAACTAAAACATCCAGAAGACTGTTACTTCCAAGACAGCCACAACCTGAAGAGGAAGCACAAACCTTTGGAGGACACCAGCCTAAATTCCAAGAATACATCAGCGTGACTGAAGAAATGAAGGCAAGGAAATGCAAGTGTGTGTAGCCATTCCTTCTGCTGCAACTAGGTATTTCAAAAGTTTAATGCCTTGCAGCTACACAGTGGACCTGCAGCAAAGGTCCCAGGCGAGGGGACACACTACAGTACACAGCCCTAGCACAGGAGAGAACAGACTCTGGATGATGCAGCAGCTCCTCAGCACTCATGCTCCAACCAAAGCATCTCATGTTTTGTGACCACCAGGATCTCACACCTGCAGCACTCAGGCCTGCAAAGCCAGTTTTGAAAGCAGAGCTCCCCAGAGAGGAGGTCTGTGAGCAGGGAAAGAGAAAACAGGACTCACAGGACTTGGACTCCCCAGGATCCAGTCGCAAGTCACAGAAGAGGATCTTTGGTGGGGTGGACAGGATACACTGACCCCGCTCTCCTGGAAGAGAATGAGAAACACATGAATGCTGCACTGCTTCAGGCTGTGTCCAGGTCAGTCAAGCTTTATCCTCATGGGGAGGCACACGGAGAAGAGAGCCAGAGAGGAAGCATCTCTTGCTCTGGTCATATTATGAGACATTGCCACTGCAGCTGGACAAACAACTGTCACTGTGATTTCAGTATTAACAATGTCCCACAACATCTACCACCAGGAAAGCAACACAACTTTGTACTCTTGATGCACGCTGCATCAAGACACACACAGTATGGTCTGCTTGACTCCTGCTCACTGTGCTCTTACTGTCCCTACCCGGGTGACAGGCAGGAGTGGCACTCACCTCTGTTGGGGACAAAGACGGTCTCATTCTCTGCCTGCACATCGTGTTTGCTGCCATCAGAGGGAGGGAGTGCTACCCGGTTCTCGCTGGCGTGAAACTGGCAGTGGATCTGGGCGCTGGCCCATGCCAGCATCTCACTGAAAGCAAATAGCAACACTCATATCTCTGCTTTAAACCTCAATTATAGCAGGCAGGAATTGGGAGAAGAGCAACTCTGTCAGCTCAGCTCCATGCAGGCCTGCTTGTCTGGAAGGAAGAAGGTGTTGCTTCACTGTCACTGAAGCTACTCTCACAGTCCCCTTCCAAACAAGCTTTGAGAGTAAGCTCAAGCTGGGATGCTGACTCAAAGCCACTTCCACCCCAGCTGCTGACAACAGCTTCACTCAAAGTCTGGCTCTGCAGCCCAAGGACTCTTTTAAAGCAGCAATAATTGCAGTCTGAGCCACAACACCATCAGCACAGCAGACATGGCATGATAAAACATATCTGCCCCAAGAAACGTGCTGTACACTCATGGCAGAGGACAACAGGCAGCAGAGGTCAGGAGCCCCTGTCCCCTTCTATGACGACAAGAGAAAAGGTGGCTTGTGCAAAACTTCACAGGGATCTTTCAGCCAACATGCTGAGATCAACTGTTTCAAGATCCAGTCCAAAGCCTTACTCATTTGTTCATCTTTTGCATCACCCACAGATTAGAACTGGCCACTCATGCACTCCCGGGAGGACACCTCAAGCTGCTGCACGTGGACCCTGGCACAGGATTCTCATCCATGAGGAGTTAAATCCCAAGCCACAAATCCCTCTGTGCTCTCACACAGAGCAGCACTCTGGTGACAACACAACCATTAGGGAAGTGGGTAAATTCCAAAGCAACAAATTCCTGCAACCTGGGCTCAGCTGTCCTTGCCCACAGCACAGAGATGCCCCAAGTGCAACACTCCTCAGGGCAGGTAGGCACAGACATGCTCTCTCTGGTCCCACAGCACCATCCCCAACAAGAACATCAGCTGCTGTTCGTGCCAGACCAAAGGAGGATGCTTCTGGGTCTTTCATTAGGACCTACTCACTCCTCCTTATGCAAGGACTTTGCTGACGGCAGTAGGGGAGGCAAAGGTGTCATTTTGACCCCTCTCTGTACAGCCCCAGCAATTAATGTAGGGCCCACATCCAGCACAAAAACAATCTCGTGTTTTGGATTCTGCTGTGACGTCAGCCACTCCATAGGGCACTTCCCATGGTACTAGTGACACCTTTCAGTTTCCAAATCACTCCTCTATTTTCTTTTCAATAGTGGTCTCTATAGTTTAGCCAGTGAATAGTTCCTCTCGTGTTTTCTAACATCACAATCTGATTAGTAAGCACCAACAACAGAGCTCTGGGTGGCACAGGGATTTTTTGTGGCACACGAATGTCCCTCCATGTGACACATCAGAGCAGTTAAAGGTCTAGATGAACTAGGGAAAAAGGTGTGCTGTATTTGTGTCAGCTGACTAATGATGTGCTATTTGATCTCTGCTATGTGCTGGCAGCCCTTACCTAAGCACACCTCAGTTACTATAACTAGTTGCTTTGAGACCTACAGCTGTAGTTCTGCATTTTCAAAAGTACCAACATGGCTTTTTCATCAGGGCTGCCATATGTATTTTTCCTGTAAAGTATCTGCTGTGTGGAAGCAGAGAACTGCTCTAGCTTGAGGCAATGTTGGCTAATTTTATATAAGCTTAGAGCTTAGCTTGATTACAATACCTTCAAACACCATATTTTAAGTATTTTTTCTTTCTATTTCAGTATAGCTTTACAACATACCGCTGGATTGTTTTCATTTTTTCTAGCCAGATGTCCCAACAAAATTTGCATGTCCCTTCCTGCCAGCAGAGCTGGCTTGCTCAGCTAGTGCTTGTTCAGCAGTGGAGGATCCTGCACTGGTGCTGAGGTCACTTCCTTCCAGTCTCACCTTCCCCAACAACTCCTGCAGCCTACACAGGACATGCTCCATGCAACCTCTGGGTAGAAGAGATTTGTTTCTTATACTCCACCATCAAATTAATTTCCTGCCTTTCTGACAATTCTGTCCCTGTTCTCAATAGGAGGCCTTGCTGTCCCTCCACCTGTCAGCCCCAAAACCTCCCAGGCTCTGACAGGTCCCTCTGCCTGTTGCTTTGATCTGGCTCCTGCCTTCACACAACCCACAGCTTCATTTTCCAAAACACCAATCTACTTGCTGCCGCTGCCACCCGTCTGACATAGCCAGGTCTTGCCCCATTGATCACCTGGGGCTTTTTTTTATTATTTTAAAAACTCTTCTTTTTCAAGAGGCAGGCTTCTAGAGATCACAACACAGCTGAAGTTTTAAATGAAGCTCTCATGAGCGCACTGAATCCCCCCCCAAACCATGCCACCTGGTACTCTTGCAGTCCCACATGTTTCAGAAGCAGACAAAACACAGGACATCTTGTCATCACAGAGGACAAAACTCTGGGAGCTGCATGCTTATGCCACAGCTGAATTTGAAACCTGATCTCAGCAGCCAAGAGGAAACAGGAACAAAAGATGGAAAGTTAAGGAAGGCAACAAACACAGAACCCTTCTGCTGCTGAGACTGCAGGCACTGTGAGTGGGCCCAGCAAAACAATCACATGTGGACATCATACTGGTGATGAAAACATGCTGAACCTGACAGGGCTGGAAACAGGCACTTCCCAGGAAGGACTCAAGATGAGAAAGCACTCTCCACTCCCTAAGGAATCAGACAAGGCTGCACACTCAGCGGACACAAAGGCTTTGGGTGATTACTTGTGACACAGAGTCACCCCTGTGAGCCAATATGGGAAGCTCCCATCTTCTCACATTTCCTCAGCACTGAGAAGGGGAGATGCAGGGCTCAAAGGCCACAGAAAATGTGGCTGCAGAAGGTGCCCCTTTCAGACCCAACCCTTTGTCTGCCACCTCTGGAGGCAGGGATCACACCGATCTGTCCAGCACTGCTGGATAAAAGAGAGCTCCTTCCACAAATGCAGGAAATAATGATACTGCCTGGATGTTGCTGTATGGGACTGTCACCCTGGTGTGACCAGATAGCCCACTTTGACAGCCAGTTTGGCTTAATTTTCTGCCAGTCACTGTCACTGACAGCTCACCTGAGCAACAGAGAATCTCTAACTGCATACCTCCTTCCTTGTCTACTTCTTGGGGGCACAAAACTGGCATAATTACCTGAGCTTCACCCCCAAAATTGAGAGATGATGCAAGGCTTCCTTAAGGCAGTGCCTTGAGTAGAAAAGTCACAAGGGGCTGAGCTGGCACCATTGCCCTACAATGCAGCCATGACTACTACCCTAGAGTGGGGAGAGAGGGGGCCGTTCCTCTGGAGGGACCTAGGCAGCTCCAACACTTGGAGGCTCTGTGCACGGACTGGCACAGGCTCCTGTACCTGCTGGCAGAGGTGGATGAGGCCGACAATGGGTTGGTGAAGGTGATCACACACTCCAGCACCTCCCCTGCCAGGAACACGGGCCCACGGCCCAGCTTGGCCACCACTTCAATCATGGCTTGGACAGTCCTGCTGCACACCTGCCAAAAAAAGCCAACATTGGGCATGTTATCACAGAATCATAGATTCAAGGAATTACCAAATGGTTTGGGGTGGAAGTGTCCTTAAATCTTGTTCCAGCTCTCCTGCCATGGGCAGGGACACCTCCCACCACTCCCTCCAGAACAGATTGCTCAGGACCCCATCTTGCAATGGGATTTATTTACAGGAATAAAGCAACCACAGTTTCTCTGGGCAACCTGTGCCAGCGCCTCACCACCGTCACGGAAAAGAATTTCTTCTTAATATTCAATCTAAATATTTAATTTGTTTTCAGTTTAAAGCCATTCCCCTTGTGCCGTCACGGAAACACGGACAGAGGGCAGGGCCATGTAACTGAGGGGGAATGGGGACATAGATACACACACACACAGGAGGTGTGGGGGGACACAAGTACAGCCCCGTCTTTACAAACACACACATCTTCCTCCCAGGCCCACACAGGCAAAAAGTGCGGTCAGAACACACCGCGCCGGTGAAAAGGACAGCCCTGACACCCCAGCCCTGCGGTCCCGAACGTTAACCCACACACGGACAGCTCTACCCGAGGGATGAGGGACACGGGGCCGCAACCTTTCCGCAGCTCCCGCCTCGGGCCCACTCACCACCCGCACAGGCCGCGCTCGCCGTCCGCCACCACTGCAGGCCCGGCTCCCCCCCGCCGCTCGGCGGAGATCGGCAGCGCTCGGGCAGAGCTCGGCAAGACTCGAGTCTAGTTCGGCAAGGCTCGGGCTTAGTTCGGCAAAGCTCGGGCCTAGTTCGGCAAGGCTCGGGCAGCGCTCGGGAACGCTCGGGAACACTCGGAAACACTCGGGCAGAACTCGGGCACACTCGGTCGGCTCACGGGCAGCTCCCGGACAGCGCTCGGCAACTCTCGCCCGCCCCTTAGTAGCGCTCGCTCAGCGCTCGGCTACTCTCGTAATCTGCTCGGCGGCGCTCGGCCGCGCTCGGTCGGGCAGCCCCAGGGACCGGCGGCGGGGCGGGTCCGTGCTTCCGCCGTGCCCCGGGGGCGCGGGCGGGGCGGGGCGGGGCGGTGAAGAAGAGGGCGCGCACGGGGCGGGGGGCGGCGATGGCGGCGGCGGAGACGGTGGAGTGGCCGCTGATGCGGCGCTACGAGGGGGCAGCGCAGGGCCGCGGCGTGGCGGCGGACGGCTGGCGCGTCTGCCTGGCGCACAGCTTCGAGGAGCTGCGGCAGCCCTATGGCGCCGGGGACGTGCCGCTCCGCGATGTCCTGCGGCACGTCGGCCTCGGCTTGCGGTACGGCGGGGGATGGAGGGGGCCGGGAACGCACCGGGACGAGGGAGGGCGTCCCGCGAGGGGACACGGCGTTGTGCTGGAGCCGCTCGGTGCCGCGGGGGCCTCGCCCCGGGCAGGCGCCGGAGATGTCCCGGTGTACGGAGAGGCAGAGTCCGGCGGATCACGGAAGGCCCCGGGCTGGCGGGAGCCGCCCTCCTCCTGCCCCGAGGCGCCGGCACTCTCCAGCCTTCCTGGCGCCGGCGCCGGGAGCAATTGGTGCTGAAGGGGCAGCGCCCAGCCATTGGGCTCCTCAGAAAGGGGGGAGCTGGGAGGATTGGGGACATCGTTTGGGAATGGGGACGCCCAATTCCCACCCCTGGGGCTCATCGCTGCCGCATCCTCCCCGGCACAGTCCCCTTTGCTGGCAGCTGGAGGTTAAACTGTGGCCATCTGGGAGGGGTTTGGAACGCTGTGTGCCGTGGCAGGTTCGGGAGCGGGGCACCTCTCCGGGCTTTGCGTCGGGGTGAGCGGGAGGTAACGACGGGGAGCACGCCTGGAAAGCCAGAGTGTCGTTTTAGTCTTTAACGCCGGAGTCCGGGTGCTGGCAGTGTTTGTGCCCCTGCCAGGCTGAACGCGGGGACCTGCCACGGCATCGCTTATTTCCTTGTGCTGGATTTATGACTCCTGCCTCCATTTTCTGCTGGTGTCCTTGGAGGCTGCTACTTGCCAAGCTGGTTCCTGCAAAGCTGGATGAAAAGGCAGATTCTGGATTGCTTTGGGGTGCATAGCCTGCTGGTCTGACCTGAGACGCCCCGGTGTGAGCCTGGGCACCCAGGAAGGAGGGCATGGGTCATGCACTGGAGATAAATAAAGGCTGCTAGAAAAGCTGCTGCAGCAGATTGGGATGAGCTGAGCATGTGGGAAAGCGTGAAGTTCTGGTGGGGTGAGCAGGGAGGAGAGGTGATCCTGGCCTTGTTCGCATTGAAGTCTGGAAGAGCCTTGTATCAGTCCTAGGAAAAAAGCAAGAAGATTGAAGTCAAACTACTGCCTCTTCTGTTCAAGTTTAGGAGGTAATTTGGTTGTTTTCTAAAAGTACTTTTGCCATGGCAAGAGCTTCCTCGTGAGGAGATTCCATCCACAAGAGCAGAGGAGACAACCTGCGTGGTTTTGATTTAAACCCCAAGGCCAATGTTGTTGGCTGAAAGGGCAGCCCATTCAGGAATGTGAGGATATATGGGAAGCTGCATGCTCCAGGCATCAGTGGGCATCTCAGCATCTGCCTGGCTGGGGTAGCCAGCTCAAGGAAACCTGGGTGCTGGTGCTGCAAGAGAAACCTGGAGTTCAGTTCTGTGTCATGGTACAGGGATCTGTGAAGCCCTGCAGATTGGCCTGCCCTTTCCTGAGTGACTCCTGTGCCAGGGATGTTCTCAAAACTTGTCATGGCTTGGTGCACTGAGTGCAAAGTCACCTGGTGCAGGTGCTTGTAGCCACTGGGAGCACCTTGGCGTCACTGCTTGGGCTCAGGAGGTCCAGAGAAGCTCAGCAGAGGAGCCACAGCATCCTGGGTTGACGCTGTTGCGCTGAATTAAACATGATGAAGGGTGCCCTCTTCTGCAGCACCAGTGCTAGGTGCAGGTGACGTGGCTGGGGATGTGGACAGCCCTGATGCAGGATTTTTTTGTTAATCAGGGCTTGTCAGGGGACATGTGTCTGAAAAGAAAGGGCTGTGCAGAGGGCTCAGCTGGGGCTGGTGAGGCATGAGAAGAGCTGCAGGTAGGTTTCCACAGAGGTGGCTCATGTGTCCCGAGAGGGGTCACGCCATGAATCCAGATCAGCTGGGTGATGTTCAGCTAGGTTTTAACTCCTCTGCCAATTTGAAGGAGAAGAAATGCCCTCCAGCCCTGGCAGGGCTTTTGGTGCTACAGAACACAAAATCTTTCTCCTTGTTATTCTTCAGCCCTGGCAGAGCTGTTAATAGCCAGCAATTGGGCATTGACCACTGGGCTTCTCCTCCTGGCTTGTGTGATTTTGGGAGAAGCTGGCAGGAGAAGAGTTTGCATATTGAGATGATAAAATGACTTTGGCAGTGGCAATAAATCCCAAAGCTTTTCTACTGTGTTCTCCTGTAAAAACTGCTTCCTGAAACCCATCTCCTGCCTCCTTTCCAAAGAAGTCAGGATGCCCTGCTAGGCTATGCTGCAGCCACTTTGCCTGGGCACCTTATTTCCTGTTGCCAGAAGCCTGCTGGGGAAGCAGCTGGGTTGGTTCCTGACGCTGGGTTGAAAAAGAATAATAATCATTTCCTTGAGAGAGAGAGCACTGCCAAAACCTCGCCTTGGCGGGGTAAGGCTGGGACTGTCCTGTCTGGAGAAGAGCAGTTGCAGCAGATACAGCTGGAAGATAGTGGCAGGCCCTGGTTCAGGGCAGTCAAGCAGGACAGGCTGGTTCTCATCATGCCCTGAACCCCTGTAAGCAAAACATCCACAGACAGTCAAACACAAAGCTGCGTCTGTAGGAGTGGAAAGCAGGCTGCAGCTAGGTCCTGTGCGATTGCAGCCTGGAAAATCTCACCCTGAGAGGGATTTGGGGACCTTAGATACTGTTGAATAAAGGTGAATGCCCAATGAGCAGCCAAAAAGTCAACTGTGGGTTGTTTCAGTTTGGGAAGGGTAGTAGAGGTGTCATGGGAGAGCCTCTCCCCCTTGCTCCTGGGTGTGCATGTCCCCAGGGAATTATTGCTCATTGCCCATTGCTTGTGCTCTGCAGCCTGTGCAACCGGGGGCAGGACAGGCTGTGTGCTCCTGGCTGGGCTGGTTTTCTGCTTAGCAATATGGAATGGACGTCTGCAGGTAGCTCTGGGACACTGCTCATGGTGGGGGCTCCTGTGTGTCCCCTGCCCACCTGGCACCCAGAGCCATGGAGCTGCCAGCTAGGTCTTACCTGACTGCTTGCTGGGCAAGGTTCAGCAGCTTCTGGTCTGGCAGCTGGTTTCCATGTGCTAATTGTGATTGTACAGGAGGCTTAACTTGGGGCAGTTTATTAGCCAAAGCCAGTACTTTACAAGCATTGACTCGGACCCCAGCCCTGCTCCTCTTGCCTGCAGTGGTGCTGGCACACCCAGCTGCAAGTGTGCCCCTGTTTGGGTGTCTTGATTCCCAGACCTTTGGGTGAGAAATTATCTGATGGGCAGTGCTGGTCTGTGCAGCTGGTGTGTGGATGGAGGCCAGTCCCCAGGATCCTGCCAGCTGCAGACAGCAACCATCACCACTTCCAGGGCAGGGCTGCCCTGTGCCCTCTGCCCCTGATGAAGTGGTAATATGTGGCAATGGAGTGGAGGTAGAAGAGCAAGGCTCGTATCCCTGGGGCAGTGTGTGTCTCCTCTGGGCTTGCACCTCTACTTGCAGGCCTTCCTTAGCAGGACACTGTACCAGGCATGGGGGTGGTGGTGGCCCTGGTGTGCATTCCCACTTCTCCATGAACATCTGGGAAAGCCTGTGCTACATGAGCTGGGAGTCCTGCTCTTGAGTTGCCCTTGCAGTCATTCCTGAGCTGTGTGAACTCTGCCCGCTTGTGCTTGCTGAGTAATGCATGCTGCAGATGGGTGATAGAGCCTTATCACCCCTTGTGCCCCATGCATGGGGCACAGGTTCCCCTTGTACACCTCTGAAAGGAGGGAAAGCTCAACTTGTGCTCATCCTGCCTGGTGACAATGAAGGGATAGTGTTGCCTGCTCCTCACTTCTTCAATACTCTCTTTCCCTCGCAGGTACTTCAGGTGGTGGGTCAAGAAGACCCGGATAGAGAAGAAAAAGGCCTTCATTGACCTCTTGTGTGCTGTTCCTCTGCAGCAGATCTATGGTCAGCCTCCATCCACTCTGGGCACTGGGGTGGGCAGGGGTTCACACGGGGCAGTTAGGGTGCTAGATGGAATGAGTGAATCAAGGAGCTTTTGCGATTTGGGCAATACTGAGTGGCTCTGCCCTGCAGAGATGCAGGGGGAGAGTTCTTGAGCCAAGTGCCACCTGGGGGAGGAATGGGGTTGCTAACTCTTGGTGTCTTTGCCAGGGTGCCCGCTGGGCGGGATCGGGGGAGGCACCATCACCCGTGGCTGGCGGGGAGAGTTCTGCCGCTGGCAGCTGAACCCTGGCCTTTACCACTATGAAACGGTCATTGCCAACCAGGTATGGTGTGTGAGGGGAGTGACAGTCACTTCAACAGCCTGGGTTTGGGACATCTGCCACGGGGCTCCTCTCACCCCTGCATTACTCTCCTCCTCCACAGTTCACAGTGTGCCTGCGGTGCAAGGGGCAGACCATTTACCAGCAGGTCTTGTCCGTGGAGAGACCCAGCAGCCTGCAGGGCTGGAACTGGGGCTACTGCGGCCACTACGCCTTTTACCACGCCCTCTACCCCCGTGCCTGGTTCGTCTACGAGCTGCCGGGACAGCAGGTGGTGCTCACCTGCCGACAGGTCTCACCCGTCATCCCCCATGACTATAAGGTAAGATGGGGACGGCATCCCCGAGGGCAGAGCTGCTTGTTAGCACCTTTCCCAGCGTTTCCCTGCTCCCGAGGGCAGAGCTCCTTGCTTGCCGCTTTCCCAGCATTTCCCCGCTCCCGAGGGTGGAGCTCCTTGCTCGCCGCTTTCCCTGAGTTTCCCCACGGCCGCTCTCAGCAGCTCTGCGGGCGGGGGCAGCCCTGCAGCTGTGCCAGAGCTCGGCACT